GTATGCGTCCATGAAGGACAAGAGTTTGAAGCCCGCCGAGTTGTCGACGAGCTTGTCGATGTTGGGGAGGGGGTAGGCGTCCTTAGGACATGCCCGGTTGAGGTCAGTGTAGTCAACACACATGCGCCATTTTCCATTATTCTTTTTAACAAGTACAACGTTGGACAGCCAGGTGGAATACCGGGCTTCCGAAATAAAATTTGCCTCTAAGAGGTCTTTTACAGCTTGTTCGGCTGCTGCCGATTTTTCTGGAGACTGGCGGCGACGGCGTTGCACCACGGCCTTTGCGGTCGGGCTGATGGACAGCTGGTGGCAGGCGACCTCAGGGTCGAGTCCCGGCATTTCCGCGGCGCTCCAGGCGAAGAGGTCGGCATTCTCGCGGAGGCAGGCTTGGAGCTGTCGTTTCGCGAGGTCGGGGAGTCCTGCGCCTACCCTTACGGTTCTGGTCGTGTCGTCCCCGAGGGGAATGAGCTCGAAATCGCCATCCGGGATGGGGCGCGCTGGATGCTCGTTGGCCGCGTCAGTCTTTTTATTGTCGAGCTCGTCGGTGAAGCGACTGTCGAGCTCAACTGATCCGACCAGCTCTGTTGCCTTGTCCTTTGGCGTAGCGCTCGGTGCTTTCTTTTTGGTCGGTGGGGCGATGGAGTCGAAGCCTTTCAGCGCGGCTTCAAAACACCTTCGGGCAGCTTCGATGTCGCCGTTGAGGGTGACCACGGCTCCCCTTCTCGTGTAATATTTCATCTTCAGGTGGGCGGTGGAGGGTACCGCGGTGAGTTCTGCTATCGTTGTCCTGCCCAGGATGCAGTTATACAGGGACGGGCATTCGATGACTAAGAAGCGGATGCTGATGTCTCTGGCCGTTTCCTCTTCCCCAAAGGTGACTTTCAGTTCCACGTATCCCCAGGGTCTTGTCGTCGTCCCGTTGAACCCCTGGAGGTCGGAGCCTACGTAGGGGGAGAGGTTGGACTCGTTGAGCTGGAGAGTTGTGAACAAATGTGAGTACATTATGTCAACCGAGCTCCCTCCGTCGACGAGGAGGCGCCTGACGTCGAAGTTTGCCATACGTGCGCGTATGAGCAAGGGTATGTTGGAATTGGGAGATCCCCCGGGTAGTTCCTCGAGGTAGAACGTGATCGGGTTGGAGCGGCCTCGGAATCTGTCGAGCGTGCTCATCTTGCCGGAGTTGCCCGCGATGAGTTCGTCGAATTTCCTTTTCACAGATCCTATGGACAGACTCCTCGTAGCGCCATCAGAGATGACCATGGCTCTGGGGAAGTATTCCCATCGGCTGGTTGGTCGGATTGGCTCGCCGACTAAGCTGGGTGCTTCGGGGATGCCGAGTCCTCTGCTTGCGAACCAGTCCTCGGGGCGGCTGACGCACAGCGCGACCTGGAGTCTCTCACCGTCTTCTGGGCAGGGGAGCTCCTCGATTTTCTTTGCCTCCGGGGCCTCCGATCTGGGTGGTTCACCTCCCCGGGTGTATCGCTTTAAGTGCCCATCTTTGATTAGGATTTCGATCGCATCTTTGAGATGGATGCAGTCTTCCGTTACATGCCCGTGGGTCCTGTGGAACCGGCAGTACTTTGACTTGTCCACGTTGGGTTTGGGCGGCGTTGGTCGTGGAAAACGGACACCTCCCTGCACAAACTCGGTTTTAGCGCATTCGGCCAGTATGCGTTCGCGGGAAGCGACCAAGGCGGTGTACTCGGTGAACCTTCCTGCCGGGCCGCGCGACTCGCGCTGTTCGCGGGGTTCGCGGTGGCGGTCATCCCGACGGCGGTCCCCTCCTCGCCGGTGGCTCGAAGCTCCGTCGTCTCGGTGCCCGCGGGGGGCTTCTCTGTCTCGGGTGTCGCGGGCGGAGTTGGCCGCTTGTGTTTCCTCGAACCGGATGTAGTGGGCGGCCCTGTCGAGGAAGTCTTGGAGGGACGTGGGCCGGTGTATGCCCACGGCCTCGTAAAATTTGGAGTCATGGCGCAGGCCTTGCTCCATTAAGTAGCGTTTCATTTCGTCGGAAGTCGTCACCTGTACGGCTTCCCGAGTAAATCTTTCGATGTATTTCCGGAGGGGTTCGTCGGGGCCTTGGATGATCGCCCCGAGGACTGCTTCCGTCTTCGGGTGACGCCGGGACGCTGTGAAGTGTTTGGAGAATAGGTCCTTCAAGACCCTCCACGATGTAACTGATTCGGGCTCCAGGCTTTTGTACCAGGTCATAGCGCCTTTCCTCAGAGTCGTCGGGAAGAGTCTGCATTTGATAGCTCCCCGGACATTGCGGTAGTCGAGCATGGCCTCGATGTCTTCCAGATGATCGTCCGGGTCGGAGGTGCCGTCGTACGTTGACAGCGTCGGTGGCTTCTCCATTCCTTGGGGTATAGGGGCCGCCATGATCTCCCGGGATAGTGGGGTGCGGTAGTCATCCTCGTCGCTGTGCGCCGGGGATCTCAGGGGGGATGAGCCGATCGCGGTGTGTCCCGGGTTTCGGGCCCTCGATCTCCGGCCTGTGCTCCCGCCTCGGGTTTCCTCGGTTGGGGTCGCCGCGGCGTTCTGGTTCCTCCCGCGACCGTGTCTTGCCGGGGATCTGGTGCGCTCCCGTGTCGCTTGGGGGCGGCGTCTCTCCAACCGCGGTCGGCGGTTCCTGGGTCGAGGTGAGGGGCTCCTCGAACCTCCGTTCTGGTCTTCCCGCTGGGGGTACCTCGGGGAGCCGCCGCGTTCCAACGCTCCAATTCTAGCGTTCTGTTGGGACAGCAGCTGGTTCGTCTGGTTGATGGCTGCAAAGAGGGCGGCTACCGTGGGGTCCGCTCCCGCCGGGATGGGAACGGGGTGGAACGCCGGCGGGCTCGGGGGGCGATGGTCGGCATGCAGGGGCCTTTCCTCGGACGATGGTGAGGCAGTTTGCCCGTCTCTTTCTTCGGCTTCATTCAGGCGCGCCGTTCCTACCTGCTTCCCGTTGGTGGCAGTGTTGAGCGCGAGATCGTGCGGAGTGTCATCGCGGCGTGGGCTGGCCATGACCGTGGAGGTTTGGTGAAACTTTTGGTTTTTCTGCTCGGAGTAACGGGGAAGTTTCCGTTCCCACAGACGGCGCCACTGATCTGACCTGATCAGGAGGGATCACGGACTGGCCACGCTTCGCCGGACGGTTATCTGTTCGCCGAGGTAAGAACGAGGAGGGGGTGTACCTGCAAAGCACTCCGACGCCCAAGTAAGAAGTTGGACAGAGAGGAAGCAATAGTACAGAAAAGGGGGCAAGAAGAGTTACCTGACCCTCTTGAAGAAGAGGGTATTTATAGAGAGACCCCAGCGCTGGGCCAACGGTCATTCGAGGTGGGCCAGACGACCAGGCCCAACCCTAATGACTGCTAGGGCTTACGTGGCGTAGTGAAGACCAGGACGTGGTCTTCGCCCTAGTTCAACCGCTCCTAGGTCTCCGGAAAGTGGGTTTGACCTGCTCTTTCGGAGGTGGACGGTTGGCCGATGACGTGTCCCCGCGGAGGGGAGCACGTGGAGAACGTGCGCCGAGCACGTTATTCTCCCGCGGAGGGAGCCCGGGTAGTCTCGCTCGTCTGGTGAGACGGACGACGAAGGGGATGCGGCGTGATGGCTTGTGCCCGGCGGACGGTCCTGCTCGTCCGAAGGGGCGTGTGCCAGGTGTGCTCAGTTCGCCTGTTGGGCCGTATTTGGTATTGGGCCTGCCGAGGTGAGGCCCACACCGGAACAAAAGTGTTTAGCTAGCCATCACGATGGTAACTTGATCAACAAGTAAAAAGGAAAGCTTTGATAGCATCAAAGTTGAAGAATCGAAAATTGATGCTCTTAAGTTTTGATTCTCATTTCTCTTGCAATTTCTAAGCTTTTTGTCCTAAATACCCTTTACAATCTAAAAAGTGGCTGAAAAATGAAAAGCGACAAAGTGTCTATAAGTGGCACCGCGCTAAGCACGATCAAAGATCCTTAGCTACTGCCTCTTCGTCAAAATCGCACTGAATCTGCATTGAAAAGCGTGCTAAGCACGATTTTCTATCAAAAAGTTATGAATTTGATCTTTAAAATCCTCTTCCATCAGCCATAGGTTTCAAGCACCATCTCAAGAAAGAAAACCTATCAAAAAACATAAAAATGATCACAATTCACAATATTTACAATCATAATAAAAAATTTACATATTTACACTAAAACATATGGATTTACTACTAAAATACCAAGAAAACAATTAGAAAGGGCTGCAAAATATCATCAAAAGTATGCACAATTTGATCCTTACCATGCCTCAAATTTTATTTTATATTTTTATGGTTTAATTAATTGATTTTTTCATATAAAATAGTTAATATTTTAAATTATTTTATATGTCAATTAAATAACAACATCTATTTAAAATGTATAATAGTAATAATCATTTATAATTTGTATTGTTTGATTTATTAATTTAAAAAACATATTTATGAAAAAAAATTTTGTATTTTTTAATATAATAGGAGAATTGATATCTAGTATTTTGTATTCTAAAAAATTTAAAATAAATTGATTTTAGAAAAATATTTTTTATAGTAAAAGTATTTAATTTTAAATTTTGAGTCAAACTTCAAGCTCTTATGATATACGGATACCGTATTGTATTTGAAAAAAAAATTAAAGGTTAGTCATCCATTTACATTAAAAACTGTGTAAATAAAACGTTCATAAAAACAATTTTACTTTTTCATTTTGGGAGGGAACACCCCATAAAGTCTAGAAAGCAATTTTTAAAATTTAAAATTTATCTAAGCCACACTCCGACCTTATAAAGCATGGCGTGATCAGGCTTATTCCTACTCCTATGTGTAAGTGAACATAAAATAAATAAAAAACGAAGAGGTCTACAAAATATAATAAGTAAAGGTAAACAGCGTCAACGGAACATTGAACTGATTTCCTTGTTTAAACGCCATCGTTTCCATTTTGGGCAGTTATTTATGAATGTAAACTGAGATTTGGTCAAACGAAGGTTTCTCAGGTCTCAGATCTTAATGCGCTATGGTCATTGGGACACTTACCTTCCAGCCGTGAATGATAAGGTTAAGGAAAAGATTATGAGCGCACTAAGAGTGAGTGACCGCGGAGAAAATATAATTGGATTGTGTGGACCAGATAAAAGAGTCAACCATTCTATAAATACAGTTATACGAAGAGCGGGCAGAGATCAATTGTTCCAAGAGATTGTCTTTGCAACTGTGACTAAGAAACCAGACATTACAAATATTCAAACACAGCTTGGTATTACAATAGGTCTCAATTTTGATGATAACACGAACCTAGCTGAAACCACTTGTTTCATGTGTTTTGGTAATAATAGAAGAATGAGAATTGCAGAAAGAGCTAACCTTTTGTGTGCTAAGATGAAGGAGCTACAAACAATCCTAGTTGTAATGTATGATCTTCATGGAAGACTCGATTTAGGTGAGATTGGTATTCCCTTTGGTGAAGATCATAATGGTTGCAAGATATTGTTGACATCTTCAAATTTGGAGGTTTTGTCCAAACAAATGAAGGTTCATAAATTGATACAAATATCATAGACATGATACGGTTTTCTTAAATTTGCATTCATTTTAAGTTACATTTTAGATTAATTTGCATTTTATTTAGAGTGGTTCTCATAGTATAATTTCTGAATCACATTTTAGTTTATAAGAGAATTTTCGTGACCATTTTTAATTAGAAGTTAGTTATAAAGTTTTTCCCTCTCTTCTATCTTCTTCATCTTCAACTTTGTACACTAACAATTGGTATCTAAAATTTTGGTTCAGATTCAGCGAGAAACACGAGTGTAAGTGAGGCGTGTGTGATTGATTCTGCTCATTCAATTCACATTGAATTGAAGATCTGAATCGTAACAAAATCACATTTTTTTATTCTGAGAGATTGAGAAACACGAGTGTTGGTGAGATTTGAATGAATTTGCACAAGAACGAAGATGAACGGCGAAAACGGTAGCTTGAACACAAAGCTTTCAGTGTTTGATGGAAAGAATTGGAATCGGTGGATGATTCATATGCGTGTGTTGTTTGCCGCTCAAGATGTTCTTGATCTCGTTAATGACGGATACACAACGGTTGTAGCAAATGCAACTAAAGCACAGAGAAACACGCAAAGAGAAACGGGGATGAAGGATCAGGAGGCATTGTTCTATATCCATCAGTGTATGGATACGAATGTGTTTGAGAAGTTCACTAATTCAACGAAGACAAAGACATCGTGGAACACACCGGTACAATGTTATGGGAGTGATGCATAAGTAAAGAAGGTAAAGCTTTGGTTTCTACGGAAGCTGTAACACCATATTTTTCCCGCGTATAAATATACGAAAACCTTAGTATTCATCAAAACAAAAACAGGATGTTACACATTCTTAAATCTAAACACACGTGCCCTGTAACACTTTAACAGATAGTAACCATAATCAACACCTTCTCTTAGGGTGTCTTCGCATGCTCAACTTCACTTAAGGTATCATCGCAACGAAATTTCTCATCAACAAAGCATGAAATTAATAAATAATTTTAATTTCAAAGACTTTATAACATAAACGAAATCATAAATGCAATCTCTTCAAAACCTCAAAACATCAATCATGAGAGTATACTTTAAAATACATATCATAACACATAAACTAAACGCGGAAAGAAAAAGAAGAAACAACCTCATGTCATCCTCAACTCTAAGCATCTACTGAATTACCTGCTTATCCGCATTCCAAAGAGGAGAATACACAACAACAACAACAACAACAACAACAACAACAAACACGTGTGATATCACAATCAATAATAACAGACATTATACTGTAAGGTATGATATCTACACAACATATTCTACACAATATTATTCACAGCATATCACAATACATTCTCACATTCAAACTCATCAATCATTCACAACTCAACAAAATACATATAACTCATTATGCAATGCAACTCAACTATGCAACTCTATGCATATATATGTGGTACCAAATTAATATTTGGCTCTTCATACGAATCATGTTCCAATCTCTATGAACCCTGAACCTCCTCTCTGAGCTTGGGACAAACCACTTATCCCCTCTCTAAACTAGCAGGCATGTCTCTTGACAAAAATATTATGATGCATGATCATATAATTAAATCAATGCGTTAAGACCCTTCTCTAATGATAACATAAATACATTGACAACTCAACTAGTCCCCTCTCTGGATTACATCACACCAAAATTACAGAATGCACACCATCAATCAACAGTACAACACAAGTATGATAATAATTCATCTGAACAAAATTATATTTCAAACATGAACCAATACAACAAACATAACTCAAAATAATCCATATTCACAATATTATCATATTTCATACTTATTCTTAATGCTTAACATCTCGTCATAGCAACATATTCAAACATTTCCATAACTCATAAAACATATTCCTCAAACTCGCACAACTCGACATTTACTCGATCAAATAATTTTTAATAATAATTCTCATCAATTAATAATGTTATTACAACATATTCAACATCTAAAATTATTATCAATTGATATTAATTCACTTTAGCTTTCAAACGCTTCGAACCGCGTCTCGTTCTGAGTTATAGAACTCAAGTTATGTTAAAAACAAAAGCATAATAATTTTGTCGCTAGAGCTTCTCGTTACGCGATGACCTCCCTCACTAAGAGATGGTTCGCTAAACGACGCTTCCCTAGATAAGAGACGATGTATAGACCTAAAAAAATCATAATGGGATTTTCACAATTGGAGGACCTCCGAAAATTTGACTTTGATTCCGTAAAAAATCAGACGCTCAAAATTATACATACTACGATTATCCCAAGTCTCTTCCTCTTCTTAGTCCTTTGTACTCTCTCTCTCTCTCTCTTTTCTCTAGTCTCTACATACAGACAAAATAGTCTCTTCCTATGTTTCTCTTATTATAATATATAGTTAAGGCAAAATAACTCTTAATTATAATTTTCTCCCCTACTAACAAAATGATTACTCTTCCTTTCCATTAATTTTTCCTCAATTATCAATTTCACCCCAAAAGCTTTATATTCCTTTCAATTAATAAAATCTAATAAATTATTATTACTAAAATAATTTATGGTAATTCTGGCCCACTTTTATTCATCACCTACAACTATCTCTATACCCTTAACTCAAGGGTACACACCCCCACTCCCATATTTAATTAATTGCTCACAATTAAATAAATACGCAAAATAGAATAATTTGCATAATTCTGTAATTCAAGAATTAGGGTGTTACAAATCCCCCTCACTTAAAGAATTTTCGCCCTCGAAAATTACCTTAAGCAAACAGAGTTGGATACGACTCTCTCATCTGACTCTTTAGCTCCCAAGTCAAGTTTCCACTAGCAGGTACTCCCCAAGCTACCTTCACCAAGGTAATCTCTTTACCACGAAACTGCTTCCCTTTCTGATCCTCTATCTGCATGGGTGATGCCTTAACAGTCAAGTTATCTCTCACTTGTATATCATCCACTTGGACTACATGAGATAGATCCAAAATGTATCTCCTCAACTGCGACACATGAAACAGATCATGAAGATTAGTGAGCGACGGTGGTAAAGCAATCCAATAGGCCACCTCTCTTATCCTCCTCAAAATTTGGTATAGACCAATGAAACACGGAGTGAGCTTTGAGACTTCAAAGCTTTACCAACACCAGTTACCAGAGTAACTCTAAGGAACACATGATCTCCCTCTTGAAATTCAAGTGTCTTCCTTCTCTATCATGGTAACTCTTCTGGAGACTCTGCTAAGCTCTCATCTTCTCTTGAATCACTTTAATATTATCTATCGTCTGTTGGATAATACCAGGTCCAATTACAACACTCTCTCCCGATTCATACCAACACAAAGGTGTCTTACACCTTCTACCATAGAACGTCTCAAGTAGTTCCATTTCGATACTCGAATGGAAACTATTGTTGTAGGTCAACTCTATCAACAGTAAGAACCCATCTTAAGCACCTCCTTTCTCGAGAACACAACCTCTTAAAAAGCCTTCTAAAGTTTAGATAGTCCTCTCCGTATGACCATCCGCTTGTGGGTGATAAGCGAAACTCAACCACAACTTCGTACCCAACGCTTTCTGCAAGCTCTCCCAGAACCTTAAAGTAAACCTCAAATCTCTATTAGATACGATACTAGAAGGAATATCATGTAGACTGAAAATCCTCTCAATATACATCTCCTATAGTTTCTCCAATGGATAATTAAATCTCATCGAAAGGAAATGAATCAATATAGTCAACCAATCAACGATGACCCAAATCGCATCACAACCTTTCGATGTCTTCGAAAATTCAGGCACGAAATCCATCAAAATTTTGTCTTATTTCCACTCTAGAATAGACAACGCGCGACATAAATTCCTTATACGCGACATAGTTTCCTTATACATTCAGGTAAAGATCAAGACACAACATATTTCATCCGCTAATTTTACGTAAAATGTCAAATCATTTTTACCGGTCTGTCTGTAGAATCAAAATTCTATTATGATGACTTTGGGTCGACTTCACACGATACATGAGGCAATGAAAATGCATGAAATGAAATTAACTCCATTTTTAAATTTAAAATGGACAGAAAGTTTAATGAAAGTCGACTTTTATTGAAATAATGAATGACTGACAAAACTATGACGCAAATGCTTCGATGAATGAATGCTTAGAGGTAAAGTTGAAGTACGACACTCACCTTCACTTAAGGTATCATTAATTTCTCATCAACAAAGCATGCAATCAATAAATAATTTTATTTCAAAGACTTTATAACATAAACGAAATCATAAATGCAATTTATTCAAAACCTTAAAACATCATCCATGAGAGTATACTTTAACTCTTTACTCAACACAATAGAAGATAAATCACAAATTTTTCTCCAAGTGTTACATATCAGAGCATGTAAACTAAACGCATAAAGAAAAAGAAGAAACATATTCATGCCATCCTCCACTCTAAGCATCTACTTAGTTACCTCTTATCTATACCCCGAAAAGGAGCACAAACCAAAACAACAACAACAAAAACAAAGGGGGTGATAAATCACAATCAATAATAATAGGAATTATACTAAAAGGTAGAATATCAACACAACACATTCTACACAATATCAGTCACAGTATATCACAATACTTTCTCACACTCAAACTCATCAATCATTCACAACTCAACAAAAAGCATATAACTTATTATGCAATGCAACTCAACTATGCAACTCTATGCATATGCATGTGGTACCAACTCAATATTTGGTTCTTCATATGAACCATGTTCTAATCTCTGTGAACCTCAAGCCCTCTCTCTGAGCTCCAAGCCCCCTCTCTGAGCTTGAGACAAACCACTAGTTCTCTCTCTGAACTAGCAGACATGTCTCTTGACACAACTTTTATGATGCATGATCATATAATCAAATTAATGTGTTTAGACCCCTATCTGATCCTAACATAAATGTATTAAAAAATCAAGTAATCTCCTCTCTGAATTACGTCACACCAAAATCACAAAAT